TTTGCCTGTTTGCCCCAATTGAGGAAGTGTACCAACAGCTGGCATTTCTGGGCAATGACTCAAGATCTTCAAGTTCCTAGGAGAAGCTCAGGGTTATTCCTCTTCCTCTACTTTCTGGAAATGCCTTCTCAGACTTAAGAAGAGTGAGGAAAAGGTGGTAGGAAGCTTTGGTGTTGTAAGTGCAGAATTTAGGCAGAGAAGTCAAGACTCCACCTAGCAGGAAGACAAGCAGAAAGTATTGGATTGTGTTTACAATTACATTTCAAAGTTAATTATATTACATATATTACTTTAAAGGAGGGGAGACACCATAAGTCAATTGGCCCAACTTTTCACAAGGGAAATCCAATGATGCAAAAAGCATGACCAAAACCATGACTGCCATCAAATATTAATTCCACGTGGTTTTGTCATTATTCTACATGGATGTTCCCAGTTGCTATGATCAAACTGTTGGCGATTCACTTCATGGCAACTAACCAGATCTTCTGCCCCATGGAACTTCATAGAATTTGATGAATTCCTGAGTATTGTTGATTTTTTAAAATTAAAGCTATAATAACAAATTCCCTATAATAACAAATTACTGTGAAATAATGAGATAATAATCCCATAATAATGGGATGAGATAGACTATTGTTATAATAGTTTCTGAATACCCTCACGATGGATAACTGGTAGATCATAACTGACATAGAATTTGATGTGAGACCTGGCTGACCATATATTAGAGCACATAATCATGCCACAGTGTGGTTGTGAGAACAGGAAAGGAAGCATACTGTGTTGATTTCATAATATCCTTGAGTATTCATCCAATGGAACTCTCCCTTGCCTTTTATTTTTACAGGATTACCTAGCACCCTGCAAAAACATTATTTTCCAGCATTCAGAAATCTGTTAGGACACATAAACAGGCACTTCAAGGATAAAATTGCTTCTCTCTCTTTCAACCCATTGCTACAGACCCTAACGAGACTGGCCAATTTTGTAAGATCAAGTTTCAGCTTCAGTGACATAAGAATGGGAAAAGAAGCTTGTGGCAATTTGTTCCACCAATTCTTCTCTTCACCTTTTCTTATGACTGATTTCAGTTGGCCACCACTAACAGGCTCATTAAGGTACAGTGAATGCATCACTATGTGAACAGGTGGTGGTCCCTTAGGAAAGAAGTGATACCATCACTTCAAGAAATTCAAAGGATTCAGAGAATTATAACAACTAATAACTTGCTTATTTGCCAAGATGTTCAAGACACTGGCATTAGTCCAGCCATAAGTGCTCTTACAAGATACTAATTATATAGATCAATTTCAATCTGATTTCTCATTTTAATAATCTTCTTTGACCTAGCCTTGAAATGGTAGGTAAAGAGACATAAGAAATAACAGTAATAAAATGCTGCTGTTTATTCATAGAACCAAGATGTTCAGCTGCTTTTTTTTTTTTTTTTTTTAACATGGCAGTGAAAACAGCAGCGTTTGGAAAGTAACATTCTGTATAGCTGTATAATCTATTCCAGGCCTTCAAGGCCTCTTTTAAAAGCTGAACTGTCAAGTGTACACACTTGGAGCTAAATTAAAAAAATCTGTTTTTCATCTTGTATTAAAGTCCAAACCTTTAAAACAATCCAGGACAGATCAGTTATTGAACAAACACTGAATAATTGTTTGAATCCAGCTCTGGAACTCTCTATCTTGACCTCTTCTCTATGAGCTCCATGGAAGCAACTCAACAGGATAAAAGGTATGAGAAAGAATGCATTACTTACCTGCCACTGAAGTTCTATGAATTTTCACATATACACCACAGTACCATTTGGAAACTTCAGAACTGTTTGATGGGAGTTCTGGTCTTGCACCTGCCACACAACCAGCCCAAACCCTTCACTTTCTAAAATTGACATAGCAGATCTAAAGAAAGAAGGAGATGTGAGAATAGATTATAGAAAAGTCTGGCCTTTATATGAGCATTGGAAAGCTAGGAATAATCATCTCTTCCAGTGCTGCAAAAAACAGGCAAAACTAAAAGCATGCCAGATACTCAAAGAATTCATCAATGTTTTTAATTATGTTGAGAGCTGGGGGAAAAGGTAGGAAGTATAATTTCTTAGTTCAAATGGAAAGCTGAGACTGACTTTGGGAGATGAGCGAAGTAATCACAGGGCAATTTGGCATCAAGGTTACCATACTGAATCTGAGGCAAGATTCAGTATGGTAACCTTGTGAAATAGTGGTTTGTTGTGGAAGCCCACATAACTTGAAGGCGAACCAGATAATCTCCAAATGGCTTATATGAAGTAATATCTAACTCAGAAATGCTACTTGGTGTTTTGGGTTGGCATCTACAGTTCTGTGGTGTATATGTAGTTAGTGCTGATGTTCAGTGAGAGCCCCTAGACATCAGAATCGCAAAAAAAAAAAAAAAGATTGGTGGCCTTTAGTTGAGACATACCTAGGATAATGTATTGGTTATTTATCTACTTAATCAGCAACATATAGGCCAACTCAATCACAATCAGTAAAGTTGCTGCAGCAAAAAAAGTCATATCAAGAAAGTAGAGTTTATATTTGCAGTTTATATTTGCATGAGTGCATGGTTTTCTTAGGGCTGTACCATTGCTGACAGCTAATTTAAAGCCATCACTGGCAGCTATTATATGAACCAAAATGAAATGAAGGCACAAAATGTACAAAGCATTTTGATATTATGAGAATTGATACAAAGACCACTTTTTGAGATGTTTTGAAAAAGCTGTTGCCTTCACTGGACAAATATACCAACAAATCAGAGGAACACCATCTTCTTTCCTTGTGAATTTTATTCCTTTGAGCATGTTGTTGATAGTTCCATGTGTATTCTCTAGTTGTTCCTTTTTTATTATGATGGTGTCATCTACATACCAGATCCATACTTCTGGTTATATGCATGGGCATGAAATAGTTTCTAGATGCTGCATTACAGTCTCTGCTATGTGTTCTGAGAATGGTGATTCCATGGGTGTACCTCTGATTTGTTGGTATATTTGTCCAACAGCTAAAAAAGCTAAGAAGGAAACAAAAAGACCAGAACACCTTTCCAGCAGCCAACACCCAGATATGCAGGGATTAACACCAGACAATCAATCAAGCAGAAAACAATACTCTAATCAAGGAACCACCAAGGAGAAAGGCACACCCCCACCAACACTGGCATATTAACAGGGAGCAAACTCCACACTCACAAGCACTGATGACATTACCTAGTCAGATAATGAACCATCTGCAATCAAACAACCAAGCTCAGAGAGCAGTAAGGACTCCACAGTTCAGCCCTGAGCTACATATATTCTCTTCTATTGGTACAGAATGTAATAGCAGGATATCTGCAATGGCTTATTTACATATAAGTAAATTGTTACTTTTAAAGTTACAATAATCAAGTAAGGAATTTGCAAATACAAACAAGTCCTGCTGATCTTTTAAAAATAATATTCCTTTCTATCAATATCACATTAATAGGATACTTCTATGAGCAATTCGTTTTACTCTTTAAATATTGCATTATTATTTCCTTAAACTTATATTTTGCCATTTCTCTTGCCTTAAGTTGGTGTCCATAGAATTTTCTCCCCATTTTATTTCCAGATCACCAGTGACGAGAGTTATGCAGTAAACCTGAATGTGCATCTCCTCACAACTGGTCTAATATCTGAACCACTATACCATAGAGTTCTCATTTAGGTTGTTAATAAAGAAACTTTATCTTTTGTTGCTGCTTTGTATTTTTAAATGTAGTTTAGTTAGGCAAGATTTTCATAGAGGACTGTTTCCATTTCACAAGGTCTGTATGATTCAGAACAGTTTGGATGAAAACCCTGGATGTTTTTCCTTCTGAAAATGATACTATTGATTGCATAAACTCATGGATGCAGTTTCTGAAAGGAGACCAATTTGGGGGGGAAGGGATGAAGGGAGGAAAACACAGCTTTCAGCTGCATAATCAGACATGTAATAGTATAGAATTTAAATCTCATCTGAAATAATGTTTTATACAATGTTCAAACAATGTTTGAAGCAGAGCCTTCAATATATACCATAGCTTCTTCACTCCATAGTACAACTAAATTTCACTAGAGTTTATTTCAGACCCTCCCAAAAGTTGAGAATGACTTAAGAGTCAAAAGTTTAGTGGAACAGAAGTTTCTTTGTTCCTCTTCTGCCCCCAACTCTGCTTGGCATCTGACTATATTTAGCCATATTTTCAATAGTGTCAATAAGTTATACTGAAAGGGGGCTTTGAAAAGCTCAGAACTCTGAGAAAATCCTACATTGCAGTTATCTAAAAAATTATATAGCAGCATATGATCAAGCATAAATATTAGGTTCCAAATAACCTTACAGTGCACATTCAGCTGCAATAACCATTTGTATTGTAGGGTCTAGTGAACATCTTAATAATATGGGGTGGAGGAATAGAATAGCCTCCCAACCACAAAAGTTTTATAGGTTTAGCTTCCTTATCACAAGAAAAGCCAAAGCCTATAATTGGACTTCAGCATCATTCCATCTTAGGAACTCATAATTTACTCACTATTTACCCATGAAGAGAATTTATTTCAATTCATGTGGCTGCCAAAACTTAGAAAACAGGCTTCTAGATCAGTTTATTGGTGCCATGATTAATTTATAAGACTTAATGGCATAAGAGAGTTCTCTGCACAAACATAAGGAAGGAAGGCAGGCAGGCAGGCAGGCAGGCAGTTCTAGACTGCACACATAGGGATTATTCCTTCTTGGTAAGGAAATACCATTGCAGTGTTATTAACATAATTAATAGAGGGTTAGGACTATTAATAAATTTTTAGCACAATCCTAAGTACTCCACAGGAAGAAATGCACCTCAGTAGCAAAAACACTTCTTTTAAATCTATCATTTTGAATTAAAATAGCTATAAAACATAATTCAGATAATCTGTAGTTCAACACAATAACCACAGAAATAGATTTTATAAAAAGACCATTTATTTTCATATAAAAAACACACATTACACAGCATCATTATAACTGTCCAATTCTTATTCTTCAAAGCTGTTCTGAAAACATTTTAAAAATCATCCAGAACTGTGCTTGAACCTTACTTTTTAAAATGAACAAAAGATATTCCATTTCCTTTATGCAAGATACTTCGGAAAACAAGTCCATTTCACATTCCAAATGTCCTCAGTTTCCAACTGTAAGTTGAAAACACCAAAAATGACAAACAATATCAACGGAAGCCCTTAGGATACTTGACTATTCAACCCATGACTACAGCTTTGACAAATATAATGAACATTTAATTGAGTCCCAAACAATTCTTTACCCATCAAGAAACAGAGTAAGTGATCATAACATAGGAGCAAAACAATTATTTTGGAGATAAAAAATCTGCTTGAGGAATAATATAAAACTGGCACAGTTGGAAAAAGACTGTACTACTTCAAGGTGTAGTTAAGAACAGGGCATGAAGCATCACCTCAAATCCAAAGGGAACAACTATGTCCTATTGGTCAATTTATATTTGGAAGGAACTGCCTTCTTTTTCCGGTCCAGAAGAATGGGCAAAACTAGAGAGACAGGGAATCTGCAATGAATGACAAGAAATCCCTGATCCAAAACAACCCTGAGTTTCTTTCCACAGAGAGACAATGTTTATGTGCAACAAGTGCTTGAGTAAATTCAAGCACTTTCTTGGGCTCAACTATTCCATAATTATTGCATTTAAACATGTTTTTGTTTCTTCCTCAAAATGTGAGAACAAAAAGACACAGGAAATAAAAATATGCATGAAAGTATCATTTGTGCTTAACATAAGAGTTTCCTTACTCTAGAATTTTTAGAGTAAGGAAACAATTCGTACTCTAGAAATACGATGTTTCAATGTGGGGGTGGAAAACAATCTCAAAAATTATCTTGTAATATGAAACGTTAAAGACACAGAGGGTTGTCAAGTGGTGTGGTTTGTCAATTTAATTAATATCTAGGGTCATGTCCTAAATGTCAACCGTGAAGCAGTTTGTTATGAAGAAGCCTTTCTGAAAGGAAGATTAGTCAGCTAGCCAAATAATTTGCTAAGTCTCCTAAATAGCTCCAAACTCCAACCATAATGACTCTATATACTGCAAGTCACAGATTTACAGAGAGATCTTAAAAGTCTCGAGGTGTAAATCCTTCCAGGAGCATCCATTTGGATATCCCAAAATTACAGCTGCAATCTTATGCCCACTTGATTAGGACTGGGCAGTGCAAATCAGGACCATAACATAGCAAAGAGCAACCAAATCAATCTCCAGATGATATTGTGTAGTTAAAATGGGACAGTTCTAATACTGCTTGAAGCTCCCATGAGAGATGTTTCCAATTAGACTTAGCCTGAAGCTCTAATACCTGTGTTTAAAACCATAAGTGGATTTTCAAAAAATTATAAATATGCACCAAAGTCAATGCAAGCTGAGTGGGTATTTATGCACAATGAGTGATCTGTACACATTCTCCCATGTTTTAGAGGAATGTACAGAAAGGACAACAATATTCATTGTTCAATCTATATGCATGTCTTCAACATGTGTACAATGTCCATTCAACTCACATTATACCAGTATATTTGGAAGATAACTAACATTTGATATTCAACTTGAAGCATTTTTTTAAAAAAATGGTTCATATGTCTTTACTTCAGTATAATCATTTAACTTGATTCAAATCATGTTTTGTTTAAAGCATAATGTTTTTCTTATACTTTTATTCAGACTTATTGCTTAAAAATACTAGCTGTGCTTGAAGATGGACTGTCCTAAATTACAGACAACTTCATGGAACTGGGATAACAGTATGTGGAAGACAAGACCTAGGTCTCTCTGTACTACAGCACCAAGAAAAGCTCCATGGAAAAAATTTTAACCATCCTAGTGAGTACACAAAGGATACACTGAAGGGCACAGCCCTTGGCATTGTGTCATGCATAAAGAAACATCTGGGAAATAGGCATTTTCCCTTACGCCTATCCAATCCTTTTCATCCATCCTTTTCATCCTTACCCTGAATTCAAGTTGCAGTGTCAGAGTCTGGCTGAAGCGACAACCTGGGAATCTGATCATTTGTTTGCTGACCAAAAAGGATCCATGGCAGGGTGTCCTTGACTTTATTACAGTTCATTCCACATTACTGTTGTGATCAATCAGGTTTTTTGCCTCAAATTAACCATGTGTGGATAAAGAGGATTTCTAGACATTTGGGCCACAGAAATAGACAACAATATAGTTTTCATAAGAACATTTAGCAGTCCCCATCCAGTTTCTGAGGTGTAAGTACACATTATGTAAAACCCACCAGCACAGTGAGAAGAAACAGGAATTCTGATGGTACTCTTTCTAGAGACTTAAGATGCAGGGCAGTAAGCCTGAAGCATATCCAACTGACAGAGAAGAACAATTGTGCTATAAATCAGAACGGAGTGGACACTGTAAGAGCAGGTTTGTACAACAGTACATTTTCTAAGAAATCAGTCTGTAAGGCTGCTAAAGCAGCATCATTTTTTAAAAAATAAAAAAAGCTGAATTCCAACCTCACCTGTAAGGGACAAGAGGGATTTTCCATTAGATATATCTAAACCACAGAAACATTTCCTTCCTTCTCTAGAGATGTTAGCTAGAGGTCACTTAGTTATAAGGCAGACTTTTTAATTTATGCAATTTCAATTCCACCCTCCTATTAAACAAGAAAAGTTTTTTGTTTTAAATCACAACTCTTGGTAGTAAATCTTGTTTAAATAACTGCTGGAAAAGAATCTGTGCAACAGTTTTCTTTTGAAATAGCTATCCCCATAAAAAGTGCCATTAGAAAAAGAGCTAAATGCTGACAAACACAACATGTGTTCTCAATGTGAAACATTGGTAGAAAAAGCAGATCCAGATCCAGAACAAGATCAGATGGTTCTGTTGTCAGGGCATTTTGGTTCAGCACACTCAAGTCTGAGTAATTCTGGGCCTCCCAAAATCCCTCCCTTCCAAAAATAAGGCCATCCGTCTTTCCTGTTTGTTCAGTCCATTTCCATAGACATAAGGCGCCGGCGCTCCCGCCTAGTTTCTTGAACTTCCTTCTTGCAACACCAACGGGAACTGCAATAGCCAATTAGACAGGATAAAAGTCCAATAATTGTAGATAGGCCAATACCAATCAATAGTGGAAACTTGAAAGCATTCAGCACTGAGAGTGAGAGAAGGAGAAAAAAGTAACGTTATAGACAAATCATGTGGACCAACATTTGTTTTTGTATGAAAAGAAAAGGAAGATATTTCTAATGTAATAAGAATTTGATTTTTTGTATTATTTGTTGAAAGGATCTCTCTTTATTTCTTCTTTTATTATTTATCTAGACTAAGGCCGTGAGGAACATTCATAAGGGTATTAATAGAGTTTAGCTTTTAGCTAAAAATGCTGTCAGTTATCCATCCTTACTTAAAGCCTGTGACAAAACCTTAAAGCAAGATTCAAAGAAACTTTCTTCCAATTGAGCCCTTGGATACTTCCAAATGCCATGAAGAAAAGCATAAACAGGTCAGTTAAAATTAACAGGCTACAATGTCTATAATGAAAATTTATTTAGAAAATGGAATATGCACTGCTCTAGATATTTCATATTCAATATGACTGAACAGCTGTTTACTGCAGACTAATTATGAAATTATCAAGCAAGAGATATACAATGACAGTATTTGTAACATTGGCCATCTACCACTAAGAATGAAAACTGTATACCACCATACGACCAGCTCTATCTAAAACTGTGGAAATGTCTATTCCATTTGTTTTGTTCTGTAAAAGAGGCTTCTGTTTTTCTATGTCACCTGGGGGAGTTTTTGAATTAATTTCTGTAGTATTTTTGAAGTTATTTTATTATTACAAGATACTGTGGAGGGTACTGATATTGCTATTATTTCTCTTACACATCTGTCCCGGATTCTTTATCACACCTCCCTACTTCCCAATTTGAATAGTCTTATGGTAGAAATTGTATACTGCCTTGGAATTTTACTGAGTTATGGGAAATCATGGACACTGGATACTTATTAGTGGAGAGATGATTGCACAAGGAAAGGCACATATAGCTTGTCTACCTTGCAAATAAAGATTGAGGGTAGGGAATTCTTAATAAAAAGATAAGAATTCTGCCCCTCATGTAACCACACTCAATCGTTTTTCTTCTTAGAAAAAAAAATAGGCATTTTTTCTTTATCTAATTGCAAAATATAGTAAAACAAAAACATAGAGGAAAGTTCTGACATGGCCTTCTTTCTACTAGATCATATTTGTTTCTGCTACATGAAGAAGAAAATCGTGGCAGAAAATTAAGGATACATTTTCAGTGAGAACCCTTACCATCCATCTTCACAGTTACAAGAATTGGTTTAGATTTGATTTCCTTCTCCCGTTGCCAAACACCTGCAGCTGACCGCACCCAAGGAGTTACCAAGCAGAAGTGGTTGCCAAAATCATTGTCTTCACAGCCATGGACTCTAAGCCGGAACTCCAGAAGGGAAATTCTCTCTAAGCTGATATCACTGCTCCCATTTCTTCTTGCCTGCATCACTAACCCTTTCCGATCTAATGAAGCTAGGAAAACAGGTTCTTTGTCCATTGCAAAAGAGCGCGTGGCAAACCAGGAGACATCAAATGACATGTCATCTGGAATTGAAAATACAAAAGCAAACCCCAAAATAAGAGCAGATATAGTAGCCCCAGTTCTTAACTGAATTCTTATACAATTTTAGGAAGGTACAGACATTCCTTTTTTTTCTTTCAAAGAGCTAACTCTACTGAATTGTACAAGCTTAGTTGAATTCAGTGTATGGTAGACAATCTGTAGGGTCTTTTAAGCAATAACCTCAATTCTAAACTTCCTGCATATAGAATAAAGGATTAAGATGATTTGTATAAAGAACTCTTTCAGGACCAATGTTTTTAGGCAAAGTATCATAGAGAATAGCATCTGAGCCATTATTTCATAACTAAATTTCACTGCACTTATTGCTCCACCACACAAAAGTCAACTTGATGTCACCACCACCACAATTACTTTGTTCCTGCCCCTTGAAAGGTTAGGCCCTTTCCTCAACATTCCAGTAGACTGTATAGTTTCTATTATGATCTTTCCCTACTACCCTTATTACTACCCTTTTTTCTTGTAGGATAAAAATATTAGGAGATGACAGAACAATCTGTAAGTAGTTAAAGATAGCATGTCCACACCATGAGCAAGAATTTAACTCAAGCTGGTTCATCAGAAGCTAAACCCTGTATGAAGGGTACTTTAGTAAGACCTTAATATTTGTATAACACTTTCAAATGTTTAAAGTGTTTCACATGCACTATCTAGCTAGAATCCTTACAGCCAATCTGTAAGGTAAGTAAGTTTCATTATCCACCTGTGCAGATGTGTCAGGAATGGGACTAAGAGAGTTGGCTTATCAAAGGCTACCAATTAAACTGATGATATTTGAATTGGTAAATTCAAAGACCCACACTTCAATATATTCAGGATAAAATATATTACTTCTTGCAATTTAAGAAGTCAGTTTCCACATCCAATGTTGTTGTATAATGTTGTTTATCCTCCAAAGCCATTGGTTTAAGTTACCTGTAAGAACACCTTATTTCATATGTACCTGTCCAAACTTCTTCAGAGGCTTTACCAAGAACGTTCTACCAAATGTACTGAAGTGCATGTGGTTTTGGAAAAGTCTTTCCAGAGGTACACCTGGAATTGTCTTTGTAATTTTTTCAGCATCAAGTAAAAACCTTTTGTTAAGTCAGTGGTTTTAAATTACTGTGTTTGAAATCTCAATTTTAATATTTAGAGTTTTTTTTTAATGTATCTTTATGAGTTCTATTTTTTATATTTCTGCTGCTCCTGACTTTGTGCTTATTTTTAATAAATAT